ATGGCTACCTAAAGCTCGCGGGGCACTTTGATACATTTTGCCGTTGGCAATCGCATTTACAGCTCAAAGAAATCGTGTCGCGACTGCGACGTCGACGGTATATAAAACACGTCGTTTCTTCAAATCCATCTCGCAGCTTTCTGCCACAATTTTTTTTCATTCCCGTGTGTCACTGTAAATCTCTTCAGCATATTATCTCGTCGATTTACGCATTCTTCTCAAAATTGCAATACGATCATCAGTTGTTTTCTGAATTATTCATATTTAATATCACAGAAAAAAAGAATCCTTGATTCAAGTATATTTTTATTCTTGAACGCTATTTGATTAATTTAAGCATAAAATGCTCTTTGTAATCACAAATTTTTATTTGCCTTAATAATAAATAAGTTTGTGTAAAGTATATTTTATCTTTAAGATATATTCTTGTTTTAAAAATCGCATATGGTAAAAACAAACTTAGTCACATTTGAACTAAGAATTATTATATATACTTGAAAGTACCACTTATATCCGATGGTCACTTGTCCTTGCAATATTTATAAGTAAATTTTAGCTTCAATACAGAATATTTTGCACGTTGTTTTAAGGATAAATTATCCTTTATCCAAAATTATTTATATATTTGGCGCTATTATAAAGATAAAATATACTTGAATCAAGACATATTTGCATTCTTTCAAGGATACTGTTTTTCTGCGATCGAAATGTATATCTTTGCACAAATGTTTACTAATGAATTTTTCAGTTTCTCGCCGCGTGCTTGCGAAATAAATGAAATAAATGGAGAAAATGGCCTCGATCGATGAAACGTCAACGCATCTCCGGTTCGAAGTAGCGACTTCCTGGGTATTTCCAGCCTCATCGTCTGTTAGGTCTCGCGGAATGTGCGCGCGCGGTCGGATTTAAAAATAAAATCTTGAAATGACCATCGCTTGTGGAGTATTTTTAATTACGGTTAAACGGGCGCGTCGATCTATCGATGACTTTACGGTCGAACGGGCACGGTAAATAGCTCGTCGTGCTTCTCTCATCGCATTTCAGTGGCGATCGCCTTTTACGAGCAGACGTCGTCCAGGTATTATTCGCGGATTTGCCGTCGCTCGTAAAAGATATGCGGATTCCTCGTCTCGACGTCGATCGATATCGAAGCCGTTCGCTCCTTCCTTCCATTTTTGACGGTGTGTCCTGTATCGCGACGCAGGCTCTCACCGCAATATCTGATTTTATGGGATCCCACAAACGGGTACGTATTTCATAAACTAACGGCACACACGAACGTGCATTCGAGAGCCTAATATCGTCGAATTGGTTATGCATGATTGCCGCGTTGGTATTCGCTTTTCGTACGGATGTCGAATATTAAATTATTCAACTCACAAAGAGGGAGAATGAGACTTGTATGGTATGTTTCGGGGAGAAAAGATTCTAATAAAAATAAATGTTTTAAAAAGAAGAGGCTGTTTCTTTTGCATGTTCGCATGAGGTCATATTGCAATTTGTTGAAAAATTCGTCAATGTAATGGTAAATGATACATTTTGTCAACATCATTTATCATCATTATTGATCTATAATCAAATATTTTTCTATACTTGCGCGCATATAAACGTCTCGAAATTTCGAAAATAATTTGAGCTAACAAAAGTTCATAATAGCTAATATATTGTACATAGTGTTATCTGAACTTATCACAAATTTGTATAGTTTTTCGAAAAAAGATAAAATGAAAAAGATAAATTTTTTTATAATACTTTTATTTAAATTTAATGTGTGCGAATAAATGTGAGATTCGAATAGCTCCATTCTTTCTTTCATATGCACAGTAATTGAAATATCACATAATTACATAACCGCGTATATTAATCTATGTTTCAATTGCATTTTATAATTGTTTATTCACACGTAAAAACTGATTGCATCCCAGATATTTCATTTTACCGAGAATGTCGTGAGCAAGAAGACAGAGCGGAAGTCGATACCAGATGATATAAAACCATGAAATTTTAATTAATCACACGAGATGAAAGAATCGTGAAATGAGGAGAGATGTGAGAGAAGAAATTGAGAATATAAAAAACAAGAAAAGCGCGAAAAGGGAAATACAGTAATGCGAATCAGTTGATCGAATCGGGATTCTCTTTGCGTAATCCGTATTTTATTAAATATTGCAGTATTTCGTTATTATCCTTTTACTTCACATCATCTAAATATCAGTGAAAAGTTAGTAGGTTTTTATTGTCTTCATAAGCTGCTGTCAGAAACATATGGCGCTTAATGGATGTTTGCATCGTTCTATTATAAAAATATGGGAATTTTTTAAATATAGGAATTTTGTTATAAATATAATATGTGTATATATATATATATATATAAATTTGCATATATGGTGCTTTAAAATATTTCTCTAGTCGGAATCTCGCTATTTTCGAGGCGGGAAAAAGAATTAGTAATAAAAAGCATTGATTCACGCTGTTGTGAGCTTTTATTAAATTCTTTGAATTTATAATTTTTGAAGCATCCCGTGTATGTGTACGCGGATGCTAGGTCAAGAGAACGTGCGCAGTTATGCCACCTCAAATTGAACGTAATTCGGTTGCTGGAATCTGGGCACCCGCACGCCATGCAGAATTTGCTTGAACGAGAGACGAAATTCGTCTTGAAATTGGGTTAAGAGAACATGCTCGCCCACGCTGCGTTCCCAGCTAATATCCCTCAGCCATTTAATCATGATTGTTATCAACGATTATTGTTAGGACGCGCAAACAATTCATTGCATTTATACATTTCCGCGAAAAGGCACGCTTGAAAAATTTATTATTTTTTTTTAATATTAATTTTATCAAATCTTCATTAATTTGTATAGCAATGCACAATTTGAAAGCATATGTACCTACATTTAATTTTTCTAAAAATCTAAAAACGTAAAATAGGCTGTAAACTATAATACTAAGGGTAAAAAATTCGTTAAAGTTTATAATAACAAAAATATTATTAAGGTATTGTTTTATATTTTGTTACGAAACTTATCGGTGAATGTTTCTTAACAATGGATTTAATACAACTTTGCGGTTATTAATGCTTCCATTTTTGCTTCCTGCGTCTTTAAGCAAGTGAAATCCCCTCCGGTAGATGGAAGGATATAAAAAGATAATGAGGAGTACAAAGAAAATAAATTGGAAGATGGTTGGATAAAAGAGTCAAAAGAACATAGCGTTTCGAGAAAAGGTCACTTTATGTCGATTGATAAAAATTATGCAACGAAGCGTTGTTAAAAAGATATTCCAAGTATTAACATTGGATTTCTTTTTTTACGCGATAATATTAATAAGTCTACAACATATTTTTTTCTTCGTTATTTACGTAAGTGGAATTTCAACTTTTTTTTATTTACACAAACTTTCTTAACGTGTCTATCTTTAGAAAAATATGATAAGCGTCAAAACGAAAACATAATATCGCCAAAGAAAGATAAAGTGAAAAACGTAAGACTGATAGAATAAATTGAAAGAGGCAGTAAATCAATACATCACGGCTTATATGAGACAATATCAGGAAACACGGCAGACTTTCAATTTTATGTCGACTACGGAAAATTTACGATTATTACTAGTCGAAAAATTTTAATTCGTCAATTTTTTCCAGTACAAAATTTTTGTCGAAACAGTTAATATTATGTTGAAACAGTTAATATTCTAAAAACGAATATCTTAATTACGTTTTTATATGTTTTAAGAAAAATAGAGATTCGAATTAGTATCATATTTTAACAAAGTATATTCCAAGTTTTTATCCAATTTATTAAAAGTAAACTGTTGCTTTACAACAACCTGATTTTTACTCAACATTTTTATAAAATCACTGAAAAGTTCCCTTCTATTTCTAAGTTTTGTTTCAATAATAAATTGACCTTCCTCAATAAGCAAGTGCAAAACAATTGTTTCTTTTTTGCATTATTTAAAGGCAAATTGCAAAATAAAATACTGTAAAAGCGACAAGTTCTACAAATTGTGAAAAAGAAGAAAAATCAATAATATAACACATAAAATGCATTGTATAGAAAGAGAAGAACCCTTTTCATTGTCAAGTTGCACAGTCGCGCGATGAAGCGTAGTTGAATTATTTCTTAAGTGGCGTTTAACTAAGAGCACTCACAGAAAAAAAGCCAACTATGTCAGCATTCTCACGGGTCAATGACTTTTGTAATACGTTTAAGCTACGCAGTTTGAGAAAACGCAAAGAGAATAATAATTTTATTCTTAAAAATAATGATTCGTTGCTTCTAACAAGATTATTTGCGTCGATAATATTATGTAAATAGTTTAAATATTTTTTCAATTCTCAAACAATCCACATAATGCAGCAGGACAAATGAGCTCAAGACAAATGTTTGAAAAATTTATAGTTCTACATGAGTTTTAAAAAGAATTCTGTCTTCTAAAAGCAAAAAAAAAATTAACCGGATATTTATAGATATTTAAATGAGACGTCAATTTTCAAGAATTATATTTATTTTTTTTCTAAAGCAATATCTTTTTGAATAAATGTCCTTCGAGTTTTAATTAGTTATTATAATATTAAATCATATAGTATGATTTAATCAAATATCGCGCGCTCTGTTAGAGTGAAGTTGCCGCTGTTGATAGAATAGTGAATAGCTTCAGTCATTAGCCAGGCAGTTCGAGCTGCGTTCCCGCTGTGATTAATTAGTAAGCATAATTATTTCTCATTTTTGTCATTATAATATTTATCAATCGTATATCATCATTTCAACGTTCACATATAGTCGTAAATGTTTGAAGCGCATATTTTGCGAGAAATTCGATGCAAAATCTGTGTTAGCGGTCAACCCAACCCAATCTAACCTAAGCTGAATTTGCGCGCGAATGTGTTGCGCACACCTATCGCGTTAATTCTAGCTTACATATTTCTATCAATTATGTTATAATGCGAAATAAAAAATTGCTCTAATATATATATATATGTATTTTATTTGTTACAGGTTGCATTGCTGATAAGCTGCGCGCAAGTTTGACTGCGGAATTCTCGAGTGCCGAAAGGACGTTGCTTTGTGCGATTTTTGCATCGTTTTTCCACGGTTTTCACGAGTATTGCCACAAGGACCAAGAGAGACAGCAGATCAACTGCGAGGTATGCAAAATAAATATATAACACATTTTTTTAAGAAACATATAATTTTTGTTATATTTGTTTAAGTATCTCTATATAAATGTATTTTATTTGTTATTACAGATAAACACTGATAAGCTGCATTCGTGTTTGACTGCGAGATTGTCGAGTGCCGAAATTGTTGCTTCGTGTAATTATAGTTTTTTTTTTATTGTACAATGTACGTAAAATATGCGCACAATTAATTAACGCGTCGGGAGTGCCGTGTAAAGTGTCGGGCAATCGTAATTATTCGTGTAGTATTTTTCGCGAGTGTCGTGAGTGCTACAAAGGAGCAATGATGATCGGCCAAGAGAGGCGAAGGAGATCCAGAGAGGCATCGGGCGACAGCGGGGCAACTATGAGGTATGCATATAAATATGATATAATTTATAACATATTTAATTAGTTAATTTGATACTGAAAAAAATATATAAATATACATACATTTATATGCATAATTTTTGTTTTCAGATCAATAGGTATGTGCTGTGTACTACAACTCCGCTCTTGCACGCGTATCGGTGAGTGAGAAATTATTTATTTTATATAGCATTTCTGTAGCGGTAATGAGGATGCGTAAAGCGTTTTATTCGTTTCCACGAAATAAGCCGCCAACTTTACATATACGGAAACGTTACTCGCTTCGTGTTATTTCACGATGTTGAGACAAGTCTATTGACGCAGTCGCACAGTTCACACAAAGTGTTCCTTTGCCAGAAAACTGTTTTAGGGATTTGCTAAAACGATAGTTGCAACGAACCGAAAATAAAACTATTTTTACAATTCTACGTTTGATACATACAAAATCATGCTAGAAATATTTTTGATTAATTTTTAATTTTTCATAGTTGTCAATTATACGGTATTATCGCGATAATTGATAATAAATTTCATTTTTCGATAATACTTGAAAATAAAATTTTTTATAGAAGAGAGAGAGAGAGAGAGAGAGGGCGATGTCATTTGTACGAAGTGACACAATGTGATTGTTAAACTTTGGTAGTTTCGAAAAGCTGGTAACGCGATAACACGTTACTATATGCGTGTGAGAAGCTGGTTAACACACAATTTAGCTCGCAACTGCCGATATCGACATCTCTAAATCCACTGTGAAATTTCAAAGTGTTCGAAACGCTTCCTTCCGAAAGCATCACGAGGCGTTTCGAGCTCTTCAGAAAGTGCCTTCCAAGTTTCCTCCGGAATGGAGTGTATTGGTCAGCTCGGAGTTTCCGTGTCGTTCAATAGAGTATTCGTCGATCTTGCCCTTCGAACGAGAAATGGTCTTAAGCTATAATCAATCTATACGATCACCCGCTTACATCTTTTATTTTTATCTCACGAATTGCCTAAAAATCACATTCATTGCTATCCTAGTCGATTTAAAATTTGAAACATAATTTTTAGGATAAATGCATTTTTATAATTTTAATGTCTTTGAATCTCTCTCTCTCTCTCTCTCTCTCTATATATATATATATATATATATATAAATAAATAAATTATCCTAATATAGTGTATATTAAAATTTGCCGCTCTTATTTAAGTTACGTATCAATTTAATAAATTTGAAAATGAAATAGTTTATTTAAAATAATAATAATAATAATAATAAAATAATTGATTTCTCATGCTATAAAATTCGGTTTCAAAATGATAATTATTTCCGACAAATTCGGAAAATAGGCTTTAATTTCTGTTAGAATAGTGATGTCGTACGCGAGATGCAATTACGTTGTAATGTTCGAGTGAGTGTTCGTTTTGTGGTAGCTGCAATGAGATCACGTAATTCACGTACGCGAGGTGCGACACACGCGAGGGAATATAGATGCATCGCGTAAGTGACAAGCGGGAACAAACAACGGGAGTGTGACACGAGTTTTCCGTGCGCGAGATTTCCTCATAACAAGCTGGAAAATTATTCACGCGTGGTTTATGTGCACCCGTATAAATACATACGCGGGAGAGTAGAGCGCGCATCGACATCGCCATTAATTATCATCATATTGTAAAGCCTGCACAGATTTCCGCCAGCAGCGATGACAATGATAGGGGAAACAGTAATTCTAAAACAATTCGAAACCGGTTAAATACTCCGATTTTCTGTACCGTCTGTCACTACGCTTTAAACGCGTTATCAATATTTTTATATAAATTCATTTTTTTTATAATTGAATTATAAATATTTAAAAAAATGATTTGTGGTTTCTACAAATTATATTCTAATTTACCGACAATATACGCGCTATTGCGAATTTTAAATAATATATGATGCTTAAAATATTTTGGCACAAAGTATTCCAGAAGGCTGCTTTCCTCGTTCTCGGTAAGTACATTTTTCTTTTTCTCTCTCGACTCTCGAATAATTTAAAAAGCGAGGGGCTGAGAGCTCAGCGTTTGCTATCGTAAAATGACAGATGCGAAAAGGAACACTTGAAGCGAATGAAGACGAATCCATTCGTTCTTTGAGAAATCGCGTTCGTCCCGATGAGCTCTAGTAGCTGCGCAAAAATGATTAAGGAACACTCTCTCGCGGGATAATAATTATCGCGTTTGTGGTCGTCGACGTCACCGCTGCGAATTACACGCGGGTGTGTCGTGCTATCTGCAACTCTGAAGGGGCCCCGGGTAATTGGAGACGAGGCATTCGTCGGGCTTAACTTTGTTACCGCCTGTGCTCCAGTCTCTCCTTCCTTCTCATCTTCATTGGGTTGGGATCTTCCCTTTCTGTCTCTCTCGCTCTCTCTTTTTCTCATTTTTCTCTGTCCAGTGCACGTGGTAACTAGATTCCAGAATTAAACCGTCCACCGTGAAACGACCAGCTGGAGAGGATCTCCTTTCGCGTCTTTCCACTTCTTCGTTCTCTTTTACTGAAGTTACATTTAATACCTATACAATTCGATTCTGCTACTCGCTTGTTACGTCGCGAATAGTTTATTATTTGTTATTTATCTCGCATTTTCGTAGATCAGAAAAAGATTGTAAGTCGTGAATGTGAATTATTTTTTTAATCAAACTTCGAACCTATATACGCATCATATTATACATTTTCGCAGCTTTCTTTAATATCATGTAAAAACGCGAAACGTTTAATTGATTCGATATTCGATTTGTGCGTACTGTTGCAAAAAATATTGAAGCATTTTTATCTTTTACAATTTCGTGCCTCGAATAGAGTGAAATGTTTCCAAAAATTGAGATCAAACCAAAACGCGCCGTCATTTGCGATATTGTGAAAAATGATATAAAACAGTGGCGCGCACATTATATAATATACAATATATAGTAACGATCAGAGATCAGCTGCGTGTCACGCGTTAATTGTTTCGCGATTCAACGTTATGATTAATAGTAATTCTGTAACGTATGATTAATAATTCTTTGGCCGCATATTTATTGTCACGTGTAATCAAGTGTTCCGACACATATTAAACATTTTTCCATATTTTTATCTTTCTCATATTTTCAATTTTACATACCAAATACGATAAAATAAATATGCGTACGCGATTAAAAGAATTAATAACAAAAATAACGATTAAAAATGTATTGGCCTTTTTCAATTATATTACATCGGACCATAACAGTTGATGAATTAATTAACTTTTAGTTAACTTTCTCTTCTCAAACCATAAGCCATGCTATAATCCATAAAGGAGAAATGGAAGGGCTTCTAAAGGATTGAAGAACAAAGTTACCTAGTTTAGTTACCTAACCGACGTTAATGCAATTCGCCTGTAATCATAAACTATAATCAAACCATCATACTTCAGACAATGTCATGCTATTAACTTTGCGATCACATGTGATCGTGTATTCTATTGTAGGTATCAAAAATTCTATTTTATTTTTACGAGTCTGCTATTCATTTTCTTTCTCACATTTTCGTAAACGCTGTTCTTAACCATAATCGTGTGAACGATCACTTGTAAATGCATGATATTACGGTCATTGTGAAAGTGCAAAACGCTGTTTGTGTACATGTAGATGAGGCGTGTTGAAGCGCAGTATTTAGGGCAAAGGGAAAAAGAAAAGTTTATAAGAACAAAACGAAACTGGAGCACTGCACTTTCTGTCAACTATTTTTTTTCAACAATATGCTACCATTTCCCTCTTTTCCCCGTATGTCGTGACCCTTGACAGATCTACCAGTGCTTTATAAAAGATCATTCACGTCGTAGAGTATATAAGTGGATCATAAAAAAGACAATGGTTGACGAAGCAATAGCGGAGAAAATTGTAAAGACACCGTAGCTTTATAAGCTTAAAAAAAGTATATAATTATACTTTGTGAGCAGATAAAACTTTTTGCAAGAACACATGAAATTGTAAAATTTTTTTACAATTGATTATTTAATATCTTTTAATTTAACTTGCGGTAATTCAAAAATAAAAATAATATTATATGCTATATATTATTCTTTACTTGATCTCTAAATTTTTTGGCGATGTCATTATTATTAAATGTATTAACGATACTTTATAAAACAATAATTTTTGCCAAATTTCTGGTAGATTGAACATCGTGGCTAATATTTTGTCTTTGTCACAATTTTAGGACGTCGACGTTCTTCTGGTTCTGTTATCATCCCCGAAAAGCCAGAAACAAAGCAATTATCGTTCTTCTGACGCGGAAAAAACGTACGACGCGTCTATGATTTTTCATAAAAAAATCCTCACGAATGAAAACGCTTGCACGCTCAGGCGAGATTTCGCTCTTGCTTAAAAGGCCGCTTTGATAAGCGCGTTGATTGCATCGCTAAACGTCGGCATTTTACACGTCACGGCGCATAATTTCTCACACTCGACGTCCATTCATTCACATTCGTTTTCTCCACTTTAGCTTTCTGTAGGAATGCATCTACCGGGATCATTTAAAATTCTCGCAAAATCTTACTTTATTTAGAAAAGAAAAGCTTTGTGTGCTTTCGACAAATATCGCTTTATATAAATGTCGAATATATATCTTTTTTTAATATAATAATATATAATACATTTTTGATGCTATTTTTTAACTTATACAAATTTTGTTATAATAGCAATATATCTGAAATAAAAATATAATTTATATTCCAAAACATGGACTGTGGTTTAATGAAATAAAAAATTTCCGTGGAAATTAGGGAGTTCTCTTGAGCACCAGCACCAGAACGCGTTTCCTATAAAAGCGCGAAGCGTCGTCCCTCGATGCATTTATCACGAGTAACGAGACGCGATTCTACGTCTCGAGTGGGTATTCTCTATAAAATTAAAGCGGCCCGGGAGAGATGCGAGCGACAGTAATTATGGAGCAGTTTATTCCTCCAACACCCGAGTTTAGCAACGTGAGCCTTTTATAATGTAGAATTTTCATGGTCGGCGACCCATTTCGACGCGTGTTTTCGTGTTTCCGCAATTCATTCATACAATTACAAGGTGCTTTTAACGATAATAGATCCCGTAACAATTGCATAATGATATTGACGTGAAAGAGTGACGTCGATAATCCTGCAAGCATTCATTAATTATAAAATATATAAGCAAG